TCTATTTTAGAGAAATTATTAAAAAAAAAAAACTTGTTAAAGATGTTTCTAGTTTTTAATTTTTGTATGTCATTTTGAAATCATTTCATATTTAAAAATACGTAGCTATCTACTAGGCATGACAACGGGGTAGGGGTGAGGCGGGTTTTGTAATCCCCAGCCCTGGCCCCGGTTTGTAGTAACATCTCCAGCCCTGGACTCTGGCTGGTACGAGAATTAACATCCCGTCCCTGGTCAAACCCCTATAAAAAATATATGTTAGTTTGAATCTACCGGAGATCCTCGGCCCTGGTTTGAGTAACATACCCCCGCCCCCTCCCCATCCCCATCCCCATCCCCGGTTTGAGTCTACCGGGAATCCCCGTCCCCGTTTGGGTCCGATGAACCGGGTTCCCCGGTAGACTCAAACCGCGTTTTGCCGTGAAATTTCAAGTGTAAAAAAGTGGTCTCACGTGAACCCAACCCTTATGCACACTGTTGAAATTTTAAGATGTTTAATCTCTATTTTTATTTTAAATCTTATTTAAATATACATTAAAATTTATTTTATTCTCCTTTTATTATTTTGGATCCTTTAATTCTAATTACTATTTGTTTTCTATGAGTTATTATTTATTCTATTTGTGCCTTTTTATTATTCTTTTATATTTAAATAATTGAGATATTAATTGTTTGGTTAATTAAATAATTGAGATATTAATTGTTTGGTTAATTAAATAATTAAGATACCCCTAATGAGGTTCAAATATATGCTTCCATTTTCTTTATATATATAAGGAAAGCATAAATTCTTCACATCCATATAAATAACCATTTTTATGGTTTTTATAGTTTCTTTGTGCTTTTGCTTTTTCTCTCTTTTAGAGATAAACATGAATTTAAGTGAAGTAAATAGTGATTAGATGGATTATTCCTCTAAGTATGCTTTAAGAATGTGTTTTCATCTATCTGAACATAAAAGGTTGATATATAACATCTCAGGTCAACCGTGTCAGATGTATATCTGTTTTGTTTACATCTGAACTCATGGTTTTAAGACGCTTCTTGTAGAGGAGGTATCTGGTTCTTATGAGGCGATCTTAGTTCCTTTTTTCGTTTGATGTAGGATCTTATGTTCCACCCTCTTGGGAGTCTAGCGTTCTCGTTGACACACTAGTCTGATTCGTGGGTCTGATACCATTTGTAATATCTCAGGCCAGTTATTAGATATTGTGTGTTTTGTCTGTGTTTGAACTCACGGTTTTAAAACTTATCTTGTAGAGGAAGTGTCTAGTCCCTTATAAGATTACTTTAGTTCACTTTCTCAACCAATGTGGGATATTACATGATAACCGACAAACCCGACTGGTCCTACATGAAACCATATGGGAGAAGGCATTTCAGGGCTAACTTGGCGGTTGAGGCTAGCACATGGGTTCAAGTCCGTCTCCCACATGGTTCGAACTTGAACCTACTGTGTATTCAAGCAAAATCAATTAGTACCTTAGCAAACTGAGCTATATGCTTGTGATTGCATCTATAAATTTCAATGTTCTATTTTCATTTCGTGTCTGTTTGGTTTGCAGATTGTTTTTGAGGGATTCGGATTTTGTGGAGGGATTTGGATTTGGATATGAATGGATTTGGAATCCTTTTATCTGTTTGGTTTGTATGATTTGGAATAGATTTGAATCTCATTCCTTTAAAATTCATGTTTAGCTTGTAGGATTTGAATCTGGATTCCAGTTTTTTTAATTATTTGTTTTCATTGGTAAATTATATTTTTTGTTATTCGTTTTTCGAAAACTGTATCTTTAATCACCGGCGAATGAGGATGAGAAAAAAAGTTACAGAAATATAGTTTCCGGCAAATGGGGGTGTCGCTGTTAATTCGTCGGAAATATGTTCAACTAAAAAAAACAAAAATACATGATTTTGGTATTACCGATGGACATCCCCATCCATCGGCAATCTACCAACAATACCCAAAAATATTTTACTACTAAAAAAATAATAAAATATGATTTTGATATTCCCCGCAGACACACCATTCGCCAATAATACCAAAATCATGTTTTTTTTAATAATGAAACAATTTTTGGTATTATCGGCAGATTACCAGCAAAGAGGGTATCTCCGGTAATCCGCCAATAATACCAAAATCATGTTTTTTAAATTAAAAAATAATTATTATAAGGGGCCATTTAAGAATACTTACTTCGTAAGTACTTACCGGATAAATTTATTATTCAGATGAAAATGAGAAGGGTCAATAATTTTATCAGGTAAAAGCGATGAGAATGATGGAGAGTCTTACCCGGTAAGTGAGGATGACGACTTTTACCCAGGTAAGTGCTTACTGACTAAATTGTTGCATTCGATATGTTTTGATATACTAAAATCTTACGCATCAAAATAAATTATAGTGTTGACTCCTATCTGTAAGCGCTTACCGGATAAGCAATTGGGTAAACGGCCCCTAAGACCAGACTGTTAGGAGCAGTTGGGTAAACGTCATTTGCAAAGCCAAAACACACACTCTAATCCAAGTCCACGTAACCCACTCATTCGTTAAAAGCCCAAATCGCTCCAACGTGGGACAAGTTTTTTTTATTTATTAAAGTTCCAATACAAACTATAAAACGTCATATCTAAAAATGTTACAAATAGGTTTATAAGACGTTTTTAGGCGCTGTAACAAGTTTTTATGGTGCTTTCAAAATAAAGTGTCTTATTAACTATTCCATAACATCGTTTTGAAAAGTGTCATAAAAATGTATCTTTAAATAGATACTTGTTTTTGTAATACATTCTTTAAATAATGTCATATAAAATAGTTAATACTTCGTCTATTTCTAAAACTGTTCTAAAAACTTGTTATGAAGCCCAAAACGTTCTATAAACTTATTACAACGTCTTTAGATAAAATGCTTTATTTTTTGGTCCTATAAATTAGGTTTATAAAGCGATCTATTAACACACTTTGAAATTTTTAGCGTCGTATAAACCCAATCAAATCAATTATATGATTTTCGTCCATGTGGTTTTGATTGAGTAAAAGACAATTAAAATCGATAAAATGACAAAAATATCATTCATTTAACAAAAAGATTTGACGTCTGCAGACGGAGGGACTAAATCGGGACGAAAAGCGTCATTTTTGACAAACCACATGGACCAAATTTGTAGTTCTGTAAACCTTATTTTATATACGAGACACAAATAATGCCAAGAGAAATCAGCTAGTTATGTTAGGGGGTGTTTGGGATTTGCTTATTTGAAACAACTTATGATTTTCTACAAAAGTACTTATCGACTTATTATAAGTTAGAAGGGTTTAACTTCTTCAAAAACTTTTTATTACCGGTTTGACACCGGTATAAGTTGTTTATCCAAACACTCAAAAGTGCTTATTACCGGTGTCATACGGAATAAGTCAATAAGAGGTTGTTTGGCAGTTGCTGAATGGTTTTGTGCAGAATCATTAAGTGGTCAGAATGATTAAAAGGCTCTCATGGTATAGTGCAAAATGAAATATAATTGTTTGGTAATTGTTTACAATGAAATTAGGGCTCTTAATGGTTAAGGGAAGCCCAAGATACAAAATCATTCAGAGGGTTTTAGAACCATTAAGAGGCAAAAAAAAAAAAAAAAAAAAAGAAACAAGATTCACCTTTTAACGATTCAGAGATTGCCTCTTAATGGAACTATTAAGAGGTAAACAAACAACCCTAAGTTGTTTTTATAAACAATCCCAAACACCCCCTTAATTTGTGGTCATCCAGTGGATTAATCGGTGCACATTAGCTAGTCCAAACACACACGATTACCAGACAAAAATTCTTTCTTATGGTTAAAATAATATAATACCAATTTAATTAATATTATTAAATATTTTTTTTCCAATTTAAATATTGTAAAAAATCCTTCTAAACTTAGAAACCACAAAGTCACAAACTATTAAGCTCAAGCCAATGATAAAAGCCCAAACAGAAATCCATTTTAAGGCCTTAATAAAAGCCCAACCCTAATAGAAAAGTAAAGGGCCAGAAGCATACCTGGCCCAATCCTGTGGAGATACATAATCGGGCTTTAACTGAGCCCATAATCGGTTTCGGTCCTGGGCCAAATTCCGTAACCTGTCCTTATCGGCTTTTGACCCTAACCGATCCTTGAACCACATTCAGTACCTATTTTATAACCAGTTGTCCCAATTATCTCTTACAGGACTCAGTTCGGTTTTCATTATACCATATCCTGTAGCTAATTGCAAAAAGGTTCGAATTTTGTCTATTCCTCTAACAACCGTTAAAAGTTTTCGTTGAACAAGGACATTTTTGTCCTTTTATTGATTCTTTTATCCTTTACCTAATCAAAATTGATATTATTATTATTCTGGTTCATGTGGTTTTTAATTCGGTAAAAGACAATAAAAGTCCATAAAAGGACGAAAATGTCCATCATTTAACGGAATCTTTTAACGATAATTAACGATAGGAACTAAATCCAGATTTTTTTTAAATCATGATGACTAACTTTTAATTTCAAAACTGTAAGGACTAAAAGTGTTAGTTGTGACAAACCACAATGACCAAATTTGTAAGTTTGCTCTTTAATCAATTTTGAAGAAGTTGGTTTTGGTGGGATCATTGTGCATCGAATCGTGCCACCACGCGCCACCGTCTTTGTGCTCTTCAATTTCACACCATACGGCGGTCGTCAATGGCGGACAACTCCCACCAACTATGTTCTATTATTTAACCCAATTTCATAAACCTAAATCCGTCTACCCCTACCGTTATGGTCGCCGCTAATCCCTACATAATGATTTCAACCATATACACATAGATTTCGAAATTTGAACCCGAATCCATTTCTAAATCAGATCTTCAAACGAAAATACAAAAGTTGTAGCAGAATCAAACCATTCTACTTGCTGCACCAGAAGCTTCAAATTGAAGAAGAAGTACGATATTTGCAGAACTCGAAGGTAATTTCTCAATTTCTCGATGATGATTCAGAAATGATATCACTACGAAGCTTTATTATTGATTTTCATCATCGCATTTTATGAGGTTTCGATTGATCTGAAAATTTAGGGCATGAAATCGTTATTGTAGTTCTAGCGTTATTGTGGCACAAATAGCAATGTTACCTTTTTCGATCACGAGGGCTTATGTTGCGACCAGTATTCGTTAACTAGTAGCCCGAATAAGGAAGCTGGTTCATTCATCAATTTCATGGGTTTATCATACTCCATCACCTTTCCTGTAAATACACATGTGAAGGTCCAGTTCATTACAGATGGTTAGGATTTTGGATCATGAGATTCTTCAATTTGTAGATATCATTACAACAAAATCTGAAGCCAAATATTTCTAAATGGACTTGAGCGCTTATTGACTTACAGGGTAAGCACTTACAAGGGTCGATGACCCTATCGGTAAGCATATGAAGAACCGAGATTCTTACCCGGTAAGAAGAGGGGTGTATGTGGGTGTTGGACGGTTTACGGTATTTTTACAACCCAACCCAATAATGGCGGTTTGGAAAATCTCAACCCAACCCAACCCATTCTAAAGTATAATCCAACCCTTACGGGTTGAGGTGAGTTGGATTGGGTTGGCGGGTCAATAGTTGCATAAATTTGATCAATGAAATATTTCATGACTTAGGTTTATAGGACCAAACTATAAAGCGTTATTTCTAAAAGGGTTACAATAGGTTTATAGGATTCTTTGCGCGTTTCAACAAATTTTTTAGAATACTTTTTAAATAAGATGTCATATTAGTTATTTTATAGAACAATTTTGAGAAGTGTCCTATAAAGTGTAAACTCATCTATTTATAGGACATTTGTGTTCATATGACACTTTCTAATAATGTCGTATAAAATAACTAATACGACACTTTATTTTAAAAGCGTCTTAAAAATTTGTTAAGAGACCCAAAAGCGTTCTATGAACATATTGTAACTCTTTTAGATATGGCAATGTTTTGCTTTGTCCTAAAAATTATCATATTAACACACTTAGACATTATACACATCCTATAAACCTAATGTTGTAATGAAATGCTATAATTATTAGCATTTTCTTTCCCAACAAAGTAAAACATCAAATGAGGGAGTCTTTTGATTGATAGATTCGTCAACCAAATATCTATCAACATCATTCATATTCTTCAACATATCATTTGTTGTTACTGCAAAAACCATTTCAATAATTTTCTCCTATTAGATTCTTTAACATCATTCTTTGGTAGTGAATCTCTTTTGGTAACCTACATAGACTCAACAAACATTATATAAAATTTTACATATTATCAATATATATAATAGACTAGTATATTATATGTAGATATAAATAAATTTTTATCGAAGTTATATATACTAGCGGCAAGTTGACGGGTTGGTTTGGGTTGAGCTAGGCCAACCCAATTTCAACCCTTAATTGGCATTTTAGCGGTTTGGCAGTTTAGTGGGTTGGGTTTAATTGGGTTGTTAGTGAGTTGGGTTTGGCAGGTTGAGCGGTTTGATGGTTTTTTGTACACCCCTAGTAAGAGTGAAGGTAAGGATTGTGAGTCTTACCCGGTAAGTGAGGGTAGTGACTCTTACCTGGTAAGTGAGAGTAGTGACTCTTACCGGTAAGCGCTTACCGGGTGATAAACGCTTACCATCAATCAACTTTCATGGCCGGGAATGTTACCGGATTAGGTAAGTTAGGGTGGTGACTCGTGCCGGTAAATGCTTATCCACGGACCCTTGGTTTATAAGACCAAACAATTGTGCGTCCTATATACAACTGTTACAATAAGATGTTAGGATGCATTTGAGCATCCTAACAAGTTTTTTAGGACACTTTATTCAAAAGTGTCCTATTAGCTTTTCTATAAACTCCTTTGAGAAGTTTCCTGTGAACAAATCTTTTTATGAAACATTTTCTCAAATTATGTCATATAAAAAGACTGATACGACGTCTTATTTCCTAAAAAACTTGTTATGACAGCCAAAAGCGTCCTATCAAGTATCAACTTATTGTAACACCTTAATGACGCACAGTTGTTTGGTTCAATAAACTTACGTCTTAAAAAGCAGTCTATTAGGACATTTAGACATATTTGGCATCTGTATTAACGGCTGATAGATGGTAGAAAGATAAGATAGGTATAGAACTAACCATCCTTCATAACAAGCACCATTGTGCAGTCTATAACAGTTGGTATTCTGTGGGCAACTGTTATTACTGTGCAATCTTTAAATTCTTGCCGAATTGTTTTCTGAATGATCGTATCTGTCGCATTGTCGATTGATGCCGTGGCTTCGTCAAGTACCAAAATCTTTCGTCTCTTCAGAAGGGCTCTTCCTAAGCAAAATAGTTGGCGTTGTCCCAAACTCCAATTCGAGCCATCTTGCACAACTGTATTTCGATCGTTATTTTCCTACCCTTTTAGCATCTAAAATAACAAACTGTAATACCATAAGTCGAAAAATAGAGCTTTTTAATTACCTAAGGAGTCCAAGCCCTCTTTTTTATCTTGAATGGCCTCTAGAAGTTGGCATTTATCAAGAACCTGCCTCACATCATCAAGAAAAACATCGAACATCGGTATTTGTCGATGGTCTTGATTAGACTACAACAGAAGTTATGTCTGGGTGCGTTTGATATCCAAACAAGATAGGACAAAATCACCAGTTTACCTCTAATGAGTTGTTTATATCTTTTATATGTTTTGATTACTTTATGTAATTTATTAGATTATAATAGAATAAATATTTTTTTTATAACAAAATATGTATCATTAGAAAGTTTTGGTCAAGACGATTAAAATGACACCAAAAAGAAGAAGTTTTATGTAGTTTGCAGTTTTTATTTATACCTTTTCTATATTATTTTTTATTATTAATATTAATAAATTAACAAAAATATAGAAAACCGTATAAAAATAATATTTTGAGGACGTTAAAGTGTAAGCTTAAAGAGCATAAAATACGAAAAATAAAATGAATAAAATGTAAAGAGGGAGGTGTATTTGATGTTTCAAAAGAGAATTAGGTTTTATTTTGAGGTTATATTGGTAAAATATAAATTTGTTCCACCTCCAACGGGGTGGGGTGGAACACGTATTCCACATAAAAGTCCTGTCACACGTGAAACATGATCCCTGTTCTGTTCTGTTCTGTTCTGTCATGTCCTGTCCTATCCTATCCAATGTACCAAACGCACCTTAATAGGACAAGTGTATAGGACCAAACAATTGTGCGTCCTATATATATGTGCTACAATAAATTGATATGACTCTTTTGGACGTCCTAACAAGTTTTTAGGAAAATTTTGAAACAAAGTGTCGTATTATTCTTTTATATGATATTATTTGAAAAAATGTGTTATGAAAACAAGTGTCATGTGCTCATAGAATAACTTCTCTAAAGTGTCTTATGAAAAAACTAATAGAACGCTATTTCAAAAGTGTCATAAAAAACTTGTTAGGATGCCCAAATACGTCATAACATCATGTTGTAACCTTTTATAGGATGCATAATAGTCTATTACGGCATTTAGACATGTCTGGCGTCCTAGAAAGCCGATTTTGTTGTAGAGTTAGCATGCATCTAATTGTTCAAATACTTTACCTTCCATAGTTCATGATCACTGTGCTCTGCTAGGGGATCAAGATTATATCGAACGGAACCACTGAAGAGTGTTGGTTCTTGTGGGATGATTCCGAAATTGGATCTAAGGTCATGGAGTCCAATTGTAGTTATATCTATTTCGTCTACAATGATCTTTCCGTCTGTAGGTTCAACCAAGCGAAACAAAGCACTAATCAAAGTCGTTTTCCCACTTCCTGTCCTGCCAACAATTCCAATTTTATCCCCTCCTTCAAATATGCAACTAATCCCTTGAAGAACCAAAGGCGAATTCGGCTGATACCTTATCTGCAACGCACAAATGACAGATTAGTTGATAAATCTTGATAACCTTATAGTGAATACGGGTTGTTTAGGAGACAAGGAGAATAATCTCCTGACTTATTTTTTTTTTAAATGCATGACCTTATGACAGATTTAAAAATGTCTCTATCTGATAGAAGGGTGTCTCCTAACACAAAAATGTCTCAAAATCTATCAGAAGGTCATGCATTTGGAAAAAAAAGTTATGTCAAAAGGTTATTGTGTTGAATAATCCTAGTGAATATGTAGAAATAAAGTCGAAAGTCTTGCTTACTTTCAAGTTTTGGATGGCAACTCTACCAATACTCGGCCAACTTTTTGGGGGTCGGTTGGCTTCTATTATTTCAGGGGCTTCACTACGAATATGCATGAATTGCTCTAGTCTTTCGACTGAAACTATTAGATTCGATAACTGACATTGGAATTGGACGGAAACAACTAGGAAGATATTCAATGAGAGACCGTACGCAAGAGCCATTCCGATGTATCCTGTCATTACAACATTTGATTTTAGATAGATATCGTCATTTGCTTGTAATAATAGTGTAGTCACTACAACAAAATTGGTTTTTTGGACACCCAATCGTTCTTGGAAGTCCTAATAGAGTACTTAGGGTGCGTTTGGCATCCAAACATGACATAACAGAGCAGAACAACTGTTCAGTGTTTGGTAAGACAAAATCGGACATGACAAAACATATAAAATGACCAATATTTCATTAATTTATGTAATTCATTAGATCATAATAAAGTAAATATTAATATATCATTAGAAAGTTTTCGTTAAGACGATTAAAATGACATGAAAATAAAAAGTTTATGTAGTTTCCAAATTTTATTTTATACCTTTTCTACATTTTTATTATTAATATTTAATAAATTACATAAATTAATCAAAATATAAAAACCATATAAAAATAATATTCTGAGAATAATAAAGTGAAAGTCTAAAAAAACATAAATATAATAAATAAAATTTAAACAATGAACAAAATGTAAAGAGACGCGTATTTGATGTTTTAGAAGTGAATTAGGTTTTATTTTGAGGTTATATTGGTAAAATATAGGTTGTTCCACCTTCTTTCATGAGGTGGAGGTGGAACACGCCTGTTCCACTATGTTCCATATAGCAGTCCTGTCAATGGTGATCCCCGTTCTGTCTATCTTGTCCAGTGTACCAAATGCACCCCTTAACATTAATGAGACTTTGAGCTTATAGGACCAAAAGTCGGCGTTCTATCTAAAGACATTACAGTAAGTTGTTAGGATGAAGTTAGACGAACTAACAAATTCTATCAATAAGTTGGGTAACCAGACACAAAAAAAGCTAAATATGACGATTTACTTTTTGCGTTTGGTTGCCCGACTTCGTAGACAAAACTTGTTAGGTTGCTTAACTTCATCCTAACAACTTACTGTAACACTTTTAGATAGGGCGTGTTTTTTTTGTCTTATAAATTTAAACTCCCATTAAGTATTCTATTAAGACGCAGGACCCATTTTGTTGTCGTGAGTTTAAAATGACTAACCCGAGTCAGAAGCCTCAAAGGGAAGCAAAGTCACAGCCAGGGCCGAGCTAGAAATGACAACCGCACACAGTATCTCGAGACGTTGGATTAACCACTCATTTGCTGAAAAACTATGAAAGAATGGACTCGCGTTGCCATCAATGAGGCGCAAATGCTCTGAAAAGAAACGGTCTTCTTCTCCAAAGGCTCTGATGGTAACAACTCCGGCAATGGATTGCGCAAGATGGCTTGCAACCAAAGACTTGCTCGTGCCATCTAATCGCATCAACTCCTTTGCAGAAGCGTAGTAGAATTTCTGTGCGATAATACTATTATTTGTAGGCTAATGAGTAGGGGCAGGTTCATTTGAGAACCGTAAGTATTTTGAGAACCAAGAGAACCGACCATTCATGATGAATATCATGAATGATGAAAATGCATAACATTCATCATAAACAATATTCATGAATATTTAGGTATATTCATTATGAATAATTCATGAATAGTTAGGTATATTCATTATGAGTAATCAGCCATACTCAAAATATTTGCGATAACTGATAAACATGCATGTAGAAGTCTAGGAACACCCTTTTTTTTACCTGTAGAAGGATGGTTATATAAACCGTTGGAATGATAATGAATAAGACGGGCCAAGTTAGGAAAGCCAGGATTGCAAAGCTGAAGTATGTGTTCATCGTTGTGCCTACGCCAATCGTAAACTTCATCGCCAGTTCAAGATCCACAATATTCAGATCAGACGACACCTAACAAAATTAGATTCATAAGCTTCGTGTAGTTCGTTCATTGGATTATTTAAGAGAATAACCTTCTGTCACAACTTTTTTTAAATACATGACCTTCTGACAGATACAAGAACGCATTTCCCCGACAGAAGAATGCCTAAGGATACGTCAGAAGGCTCATGCATTTAATTTTTTTTCAAAAAGCTATTGTCCTAAATAACCCTGATGGGTATATTTAGGAGAATAGCCTTTTGTCATACTCTTAGGTGAAGGCTTACCCGACTGATTATCCTTCCCACAGGCGTGGAATCGTAGAAAGACATCGGTGCTCGGAAAAGCGACGTTATTAACTTAGAGAAAACCGCCATCGATGTCTTAACTCCTAGTTTAACGACAAAATAAGATCTACCGAATAAAAAGAACATCATGAAAACCCCGATGCCCATGTACACTAGCAACATATTCAGCCAGTTGAAATTAGAATCCTGCACTTCTCTAGCCAACCATAGATTCTGCAATAACGTTCCGATTATGTGTGAGATATGCGATAAAACCGATAGAAAGAAGTAGAAATAGCCGTTGCTTTGACCAAGATACTGTTTGTACGGCTTTAGGCCCGTGTCCCCTGCTTCTCGTTCTTCTTGCTTTATCAACTGTTCTCCTAAAGACGATTCTATCTGTTCTTTCGTGCTGATTTTTTGGATTTCTTGATTTGGCTTTTCAGATATCTGTTTAGAATCATCGGGTGCTTGATTATCTGAACTTGAAGTATCGGAAAGTGCAATAACGAGGTTTTGGAACTCTTTACAGGAATCAAGTAGTTGGGAGTAGGTTCCGGTTTTCACGATCTTCCCGTCGGCCATTAACTGTCAACCAAAATCACGAGAATTTAAGATTGAATTCATGTGGAAGAGACGGAAAAGTGGCGTTGGCGGGTTTAGTGTGAATGCTCACCAGGATATCGTCAAAAGCGGGCAAGAAATCGACTTGGTGAGTTACGAGTAACACTGTCTTGCTTGATAGAGCTTCCATGATGTATTCCTAGAAATAAAACTTGTTAATACAGATTATAGGACACTAAAGATGTCTAAATGTTTTATTATATTGTTTTATAGGACGAAACAATTATGCGCCTTGTATAAAAGTGGGGTCTTTCGGTTAAATGACCGGCTGAGAGGTTTTTGACTTTCTGACAAGTTTGAGAATGTCACTGATGGGCTGGGCATGCCCAAGAATGTCAAGAAATCTGTCTGAAGGTCATGGATTTAAAAATCAGTCGTCAGGAGGTCATTTAGCTAAAGAGTAAAGTTCAATTTTGGTCCCTAACATTTGCAATTTTTAACAGATCGTCCTTAAACTTCAAAAACTCGGATTTTGTCCGCATGTTTGTCAATTCCAACGGTTTTGGTCCCTCTGTTTAACGGTTATCAACTTTTTTTCCAAGTCCAGTTAAGTGTGGATTATTTTAGTCATTTTTATTAATTTTTTATTTTATATTAAAATTAAAAAACACATTATATTTTTTATTTTAAATTGTGAAACACAAAAAGAAAAGAAAAGCATAACCACCGCCTTTTTTTGCCATTTAAAACTAAAAGTGTAATATGTTTTTATTTTAATATAATGAAAATAGTAAAAATGACTAAAATACCCCTCATTTAATTGGATTTAACGGAAGAAGTTTAACTACCGTTAGACAGAAGAACCAAAACCGTTAGAAATTGACAAACGTGAGGGACCAAATATGAGTTTTTGAAGTTTAGAAGCGATATCCGTTGAAAATTACAAATGATAGGGACCAAAACTAAACTTTACTCGTTAGCTAAATAACCCTATAAAGGTATTACAGTAGGACGCATATGGCGTTCCTAACAAGTTTTGTAGGATATGTTTTGAAATAAAGTGTTGCAATTAGCTTTTTCATATGACATTTTTTAAATAATGTCATATAAAAAGACTAATATGACACTTTATTTCAAAATTGTCATAAAAAACTTGTTAGGACGTTCAAATACGTCCTATCAAACTTATTGTAACACCTTTACATATGATATGACGCATAATTGGTGCTTTAAACTAAAATTCTATAAAACAACCTGTTATGATATTTAGACATATTTCACGTCTTTTAAACCCGATTTTGTTGTAGCGATTTTTGTTCTTTTTTTTTCTATCAGAAGAAGAGATGAGAATGACGATTACTTTGAACAAACTGGCGGCAGTATGGGCATCAACGGCGCTAAATGGATCATCCAAGAGGTATACATCGGCATCTTGATATAATGCTCGTGCCAGCTGAACTCGTTGTTTCTGTCCACCGCTGAGATTTACGCCTCGTTCTCCGATGATCGTTTGATCGCCAAATGGGAACATCTCGATATCCTTCACAAGTGAGCATTTCGTAACTACTTCTTGATACTTTTCGTCATCCATTTCCGAACCGAATAGAATGTTTTCTTGTATAGTTCCTGTTTGAATCCATGCTGTCTGGGAAACGTACGCCACCCGGCCATAAACTCGAACCTGAAAACCAAAAACCCGGTTAAAAACCGTTGAAATAATAGTTGCTACTTTAAGAAAATCAGCTTTATAGGACATCAAAGATATCTAAATCTTCTAACAGACTCTTTTTATAGGATACCAAAAATATCCAAGGGTCTGTTTGTTAGTAGCTTAATGAGCTTAATGAGACAACTTATTCGGTTAGCAACACATGAACATTTGGTAGTGACTTTATGATATAGAAAGTGACTTATTCAATAAGCTTTCAAAGTGGAGCTTTATGCAGAAAACCAAGTTTTTACCAAACCTGGCCCTCCCAATAATAACCACGCTCCTATTATCTATGAAAGAACCCTCCCAAGCAAAAACCTTAGCAATCTCTACAGACAGATTAATCCACACAGACAGTTTTACCCATACAAGACTTAATGGAAAACCAACTAAACAGACCCTAAATGTTCTAATAGACAACTTTATAGGATTCCAAAATTATCTAAATGTTCTAATACTCCACTTTATAAGCCTTAAGTTTATATTACCAACCAATTGTGTGTCATATATAAAGGTGTTACAGTTATGATTTTAAGGACGTATTTGGACATCCTAACATGTTTTTTAAAATTACTTTTGAAATAAAGTGTCCTATTAGCTTTTTTTATAAGACACTTCCTTTTTTCAAATAATGGCATATAAAAAGACTAATAAGACGCTTTATTTTAAAATTGTACTAAAAAACTTGTTCGTACTTCCAAAAACGCCCAAAAACGTCTTATCAGCTTATTGTAACACATTACATAGGACACAAAATCGTTTGTGCTATAAATTTAAGTCCTATTAAGCAGTCTATTAGGATAGTTATATATAATATAACGTTTGTATAAACCCGATTTTGTTATGGTGTGTTGGTAGAGACTTGATTGTTAGCGAAGACTTACGTTGCCTTTTATGTTCGGAACCTCTCCAAGAATGGCCGAAACAAGAGTCGATTTGCCCGACCCAACTTCTCCGCAAATTGCCACTTTTTCGCCCGTCAAAATTTCAAGATTTACGTGTGCTAACGTCGGCTTTGAAGAGTCATCAGTCCATGAAATCACTTCCGATTCGATTATTACAGACTTATTTTCGACATTTCCGTGTTTCTTTAGCTCTCTCTGCAACTCGGGTGCCTCTAGAAACTTAATAATCCGAGTTAAGGCAACCCTTGCTTCAATAAACACGGCTGCAACGTCGGAAATGAGCCGAATCGGCTCCTGAATGATCCGTATCGTTGCTAGAAACGTGAATACGTTACTGGCATCGAGCGGAATTCCTAAAAAATAACACGTCCAAAACGTGGCAATCGATACAAACACCGGAGCCGACCAAAAAAGAATCAAATAGCCGCCTCTTTGAGTGATCACCGCCGATAACCACCGCAACTCTTCTTTTCTTAACATTTCTGTCGCCTTCCGGAAATGAGTCTCCCAAGCATACAACTTCAAAACCTTCATATTCGTTATCGCCTCCGCTATCGCCTTCAATCTCCGATCTTGTGCCGCCATTAGCTTTGTTAGATACTTATGCTGCAACTTACCCATCGGAAGATTTCCTAAAACCGTTAAGATTACGACGAAAAGAGCTGCAAACGTCGCCATTCCCACCGAATAAAAGATTATAAGAATCCCGAGAGTTATCTGAAGACCAATTGTCCAAATCTGATGAAACCAAAACGGGAATTCGCCAATTCTAGTAGCGTCAACGGTAGCGTAATTCATTATCTCACCGGGACCGTAACTCAATTTGGCGACGTTCGATAACCGTAGCTGTTTCCGATAGATTGCTGCACATAACATAGATTTCACTTGGAGCCCGATCAATCTATTTCGAAAGTTTAGTTGTCTTTCCGATATCGATTCTAGACATTTCGCTAGAAATAGGCCGAATGCTAGAAAATAACCTTCGTGTTTGAAACTTTCCATCCCTTGGCAAACCCGAATAAAAGCCCGAATAATTAACGGTCCGGAAGCTAGAGAGAGTACTTTGATCAGTGCAAAAAACCCCGTTATCACGAGATCTTTCCGTTTCCAAATAAACAACGTTGACAAGATAGACGGATCACCACGAGCACCATCTTTTCGTTTCTCGAGTTTCTCCATGAATCTTGAATAACACGATTCCGCTCTATCTTCCGGTCGTAAATATGGAATATCTTTTCCGTCAAGAACTTTACGTTTTCCTTTCACCAGTAACGGATTTAGCCACCAGAATGTGAATATACTTAGAATTCCTGCTTTCGCCATTGGAGTAACATTTTCGTCCGTTTCAGATCGTTCTTCGGCTTGCAGAGGTGCGTAAAGCGAACCATTCTCAATGTTTTCTTGTTTTTGCTCCCGGAAAACACAGATGACGAACAAAACCGCACCCGGAAAAGTCAACACGTTTAGAACACCCATTAGAGTCGTTTCTCGGTGGACACTATCTTCCCAGATCGACGAAAAACAAAGAAAGATCGTAAACAACAAGATCAGAATCGAATAAATCTTGGGTAAAACCCGACGCCTTTCAAGACTCAGAATCAACAACCATACGCCGCCCTGGAGTACCGCCACGAGCCACCCGTCTGGAGGTAACAAGCTCGTTTTATCGCTCAACTTTTCTAGAATCATCCATATTCCTAGACCAAGATACACGAATCCTAAACAACCATTGAAACCCGTCGACCAAACTGGCAGCCAGTGTCTGCGGACACTGCCTGCCATTTTTGTCGACGACAGATTGTAGAAGAAGATGAATAGGCACGTAAACAACAAAAGGGTGTCGATAGAAACGACTGTAACATGATATATAGAAAAATAGCGATCGAAAACCGTCACCATATCGGATTGCAGTTCTCTTAAGATTTCATAGATTTGGAGATTTCTCAGATGAAATCCTCCAGTTTTCCTGAAGCAAATGACAGCAGAGCTTAATGAAATAAGTCGGAGCTGTGTTGGATATACTTCCTGTGATGGAGATGAAGTTGTGTTGTATGGATAGTAGTAATGGAAGGTAGTACAGGGTTGGGTTATGTGAGATCACAGTAAAACATTGTGAAGGTATGAAAAACACCGAACCTTTACAGCAAAAACACTGTAAAGGTAAAACCTTAGTGTCTTGTTATGAAGGTTCAGTGTTATTTAATGGTCCCACGAAAACAGGTTGATCTCACATGATTCCAAATCATATAATACAATGGAATAAAAATAATCATTAAATAAAAATACTTTATTTTCATTATCAATCCCATTTTCATTCCTTAAAATGAACCTAACACTCCCTTCTTACCTGCTAGGCTAGTAGGGGCTGCTTGGCAATTACTGAATGGTTTGGTGCAGAATGATTAAGAGGTTCTCATGATATAGTGCAAAATGAAATATAATTGTTTGGTAATTGTGTACAATGAAATTAGGGCTCTTAATGGTTAAGGGAGATCCAAGATACAAAATCATTCAGAGGGTTTTAGAACCATTAAGAGTCAAGAGTTTTTTTTGCCAAACAAGATTCACCTATTAACGATTCAGAGGTTGACTCTTAATGGAACTATTAAGAGGTAAACAAACAACCCCTAAAGGTAAAGTTACAGAACTAAAAAACTTTTTTCTGGTGAGGACTGTTCTGCAAAAATGTTCACCTTCTTACCTGCTAGGCTAAAACTGCATGAGATTCATATTTTGGGTAATGTACTTTCAAAACTTTCATTTTAGTATCTAAAATGTAAAGTTTTAAACATTTAAGCACTCGGGTAACCGGTTAAAAACTAAATTTAGATTAATAAAAAGACTAATTCTTGATTAAAAAAATTCATGTTACTAACCACGTCAGTAAATAATATTGAGTTGGATATATACCACATCACTCGTCACATCAACATGATAACCGGCTAATGCTTCAACTGGTTATCCGGATACTTTAATTTTTAAAACTTTACATCTTATGTACCAAAATGAAAGTTATAAAAGTACGTTACCCAAAATAGAAATAAATAAAAAAGAATGGGAAAGAGATTAAAGAATTCATTCCCACCGACTCCACTTCAAGTTTAACTTTTATGTGTCATATTCGAAAAAGGACTCGACATGATTTTCTCTTAGTTTCCATAAGAAATAACGACATGTGATTTATATAAAGAGTGTTGAGACTACCTTTATCAGCTATCCAATTGTTTATTCAAAAGCTATTTATCCTCATAAATTACGCTTTTCGTCCTTATAGTTGTGGAAAGTTTCTACTTTTTGTCCTTGTGTTTTTGAAATTACGATTTTTCATCCATACAGTTTATAATTCGTTGTTGATTTTGTGTTTTTACAGTTTATGGTTGGGTTAAAGTTTTCGATCTGTTTTCAACTCATTTAAAATATTATGTAAGTTTATTTTATTCTTAATATTATATCTAGTATTCTAATTTTTTTTATTTTGTTTTATTCTTAATTAAAAATCATACCGTCGTGAGATGAAAGTCCAAATTGCAATTGACTTCATTACTCTTAATCATCATGAAATCCCTAAAAGTTTCTTTACTCCATTTTTCAATTTATTTTGAACAATATATTTGTTGTGGTTGTGTTTTATTCAAACTTTGAACAATTTGTTTGTATTTGTAGTTGTGTTGTATTTTATTCAAAAAACATTAAGTAGTCGAGTCCTTTTTTATTTAAAATTTTAAAATTAAATGGGCCGTTCAACCCATTTATTTAACAGGTTGGGTTAAAAAATAGTAGACGGGTCAACCGTTGTCAACCCATTTAGGTAATAGGTTATGTTGGGTTGAAAAATCTCAATCCATTTAGTTAAATGGTTTGTGTTGGGTTGAGATTTTCTACCTATTCAATAAATGGGTTGAACCCGAACCCAACCCAACCTGACCCATTGACACCCCTAATGATTTATTGTTATTTTCGTCTCTATGGGTTTTAATTCTTTACTTTTTACATCTCTCATGCTTAAAAGGTCGGAATTAGGGGTCGTTTACCAAACGTTTAACTGGGTAAGCGTTTACCAAGTCACATTACCTTAGCGGATGAATATGGAAAAGACCAAGAATCTTACCCTGTAAAAGTGAGACAAGGAACAAGAGTCTTACCCCGTAAGTGAAGGCGACAACTCTTACCACAGTAAGAGCTTATCGAGTAAATTATTGCATACCATGCCATTTTGGTGGACTAAAATCTTACCTTGTAAGTAAGTAAAGTGTTGAAATTTACCGATAAGTACTTATCGGGTAAGTTTTTTATAAACATCCCCTTACGGATGAAAAAACAATGAATTGCAAACCGTATGTACGAAAATAACAATTTTGAAACGACAAGGACAAAAGATGCAATTGTTAATAAACCACAGGGATGAAAAATGTAATTTACTCTTTATTTTTATTTAAGATGAAAATATAAAATTAACATCGTTGGAAATGAAGAGTTTGGAGGGTATATTAAAATTTGTGAATCTTAACCTTTATAATATAAATAATTAATAATTAATAATTACTAAATTTGAAAAATAAACTCTAATCAATAATAATATAAAATTTATGAATAATAAATATCAAGGGGTTGTTTACCAAACACTTGTCTGGTAAATGTTTACCGGTAAAATTTAATACTACCATTTATTTACCGAGTAAGATTTTAGTCCATGAAAATGGCATTATATGCAACAATTTACATAATAAGTGCCCTCATTTATAGGGTAAGATTTTTGGTTTCTTGTCTCGCTCTTATTGAGTAAGATTCTTGATCCTTACCATATTCATTCGGTAAGGTAATATAACTTGGTAAGATGTACCAAAAAAGCAGTTTTTATAAAATTAACATTGAACATAAAACCAATACCATTGTTGGTTGACCAAATGGGTCAAAAAAATTTATAGAAAACATAAAAAGCTAAAGATCCCAATGCCAATTTTGAGAATCTTTTGCATATCAAGATTTAATTTTCTTGTTTTTATTAGTGAATACCAAAGGGCCTTTGGTCTGACGGTATGTGAGTCTTTTAACTTTCTAGGAGGTCAAGGGTTCAAACCTCATCAAAGGTATGACTCATGTCATAGCGTCTTAAGTCGTGCCACGGTGTACCATGGCATACGGCATGGGCGGATCTAGTTCAGGTTCTATTTTGAATAATTGATCATAGACGCTTTGTATAATACTAATGCATATGATTTTTCTTCTTCTAATATGAATGCAAATTTGTCAATATAATTATCTCATTGAATAAGAAATAGAAAACATACATGTAATACACACACACACACATAGGTGAAAGTTCAAACGAGAACACCTTCATTTTATGAAAATACGAGAACACTCTTATCACATGTGATCATTCATATGAAGGGATCTGGTGGTGTGTGGAGGACTTGGCCCACGATCTAGGTCACACCAAAGGTTATCTGCGTTTCTGATTTAATATCTGTGATTGATTATATATAGTATCAAGTCAAGAATACTCTTTTCAGATATGATTATACATGTGATGGACCTAGGGCGACTTGGCTTGCAACCTAGATCATGCATGTCTCTAATTTAGTGTCACTTATGTGTACCATATGTGATTGACTATAGTAAAAGAGTGTTCTAACGCTTTTGTATAATGAATATGTTTTCGTTTGAACCTTCCTTATCTCTGTGTGTGTGTGTGAGAGAGAGAGAGAGACATACAAGTTTGTCGCTTTATATTACGCCTGGAAAGACGTTGGATCCTTGTCGTGACATATAAGGCTAGACATCGTTGTAATATCACGTCTCACGTCAAAATGGTACAAGACAAACTACAAAGGGATAGGTATAAGTGTTTTAATGCTAAAGTTGTCTTAAAAGGTTTCATTTAGTGGGATATGAAAACACCATTTACAACCAAAGTCACAAGGCAAACATTTTTATCATCATCATGATTTTGAACAACAACAACAACAACAAAAAAAATATATATATATATTAGAATGATATTCGCACAATGTATTTAAAATTTCTTTTGTTTTTGTTTATTTCTTTATTTTTATTTTTTTGGGTTTAATAGTATAATTTTTTTATAAAGATAATAATTAAGTATTTTGTTTGAAGTTAATAACTATCCTAATTATATTTTAAATTTTTTATATTTAAAATGAGATGTTTATCTTTTATTTAATTATGTTTATCTGCAGTTAGTTATATGAAGCTTTAATAAGTTGTACTCATGCACAATTTACTTGTAATCTTGAATAGTCATGAACCCGAGTTCGAGCCCTAGGAGGGGAGTGTTGGTGACATTTAAGTGGGACCATGTTTAGCCTCCAAATTTGCCGGGGATTAGTCGGGCTTTGGCCCGGACACCCTTACAAAAAAAAAAAAAACATTACTTCATGCACAAAAAATGGTTTTTAGGAGTTTTTATCAAATGCTTTATAATACAGTATAGATAATGATACCAAAATAAATGAAATAAGATATTATTTATGACTTGATTTATTTAAATTTAAAATTTTTAATTATATTAAATACGATTTAATCTTGTTGTTTTAGTATTTTTGCCTATTTCGGTATGAAAACCTGTTTGAAATTTATATAAGAATTTGTTCAATTTTAAGTTCTAAAGATGAGCGTATGTATGAATTTTTCATTTGATTAAAATTTAAATAGTTGATTTTGGGTTTTTGAATGAAAAACAATATGAAAACTGGAAACCATAATTTTAGGATGATAAAATTGGAATTCTTTTCTCAGTGATATTTTAATGATTTTGGTGTTAAAATATCGAATAAACGGTTATCACAATTTGTCTCAAACAATCGTCTAAAAACTTAATCACATAAAATATAAAAATCATATTAAATCTTTTTTTTTCTTTCAGATTTTTACCATACAAATTAAGACAAATTTCGTTATCTATACTATGTTATAAAGTATTTGACAAAAACTCTTAAAAATCTTTTTTTAT